AAATGACTGGCACGGATTTCTTTCATATTAAATTTGATGGTCGAACTCGAAGAAAATGACTTCATTTTTGACATCATTTTTCCAATAAAATCATTCATTTCCTGGATTATTAGGCCTGATAATGCCCAATGCAACAGCCTTCCAGCAACCCTCTGTAGGGCCGGTACAGAAGGTTCTGGAGTTCCATAAGAATTAGTCCTTGGACCCGTCCTTTCTGTAATGTGTACTAAGAATTTGGACAACTAATCGATAATCATGGTTCTTGGACGACATTCTTATGCAGATGATACACAGGTGATCGCAAGTTATTCCCTTTCAAAAACTGTTCCATCCCCTAATTATTTTGACACCAAATTGTGTACACATGACATTAAAGATAGGATGAAATGAAATATGTTGAAATTAAATTTAATTGAATTAAGTAAATCAGAATGACGTGGTCAAAATACACATCTGAACCAGCGGCTGCCAGGCAGGATACGCCCACATTTTCGAGAGATGGATAGAGAACAAGCTAAAAAGAAAGTGATTTTTCCTACTATCAAGGGCCATAATTCAGGAAATTACAATTCAATATGCGCGAATATCGAAAGGAACCAAAATCTTTGGGTTATAAACTTACATTTCAAATTTCAACAAAATCGGATAAAAATTGTGACCTCTATAGGGTCCACAACCTTGATATACCATATTTTTAAGCTATTTGAGAACGAGGGGCGGCCATTTTGTCTTGTCAGTTTTGGGCCGATTTTCACGAAATTCAAACTTAGCCGTCCTTAGGGTGTAACGGTCATATAATAATACGTTTTTTTAAATCAGATAAAAATTATGACCTCTATTAGGGTCCACAAGCTAAAAACGCGATTTTCGGACAATCAGGGGCCATAATTCAGGAAGTTACATTCCGATATGCGCGAATATAGAAAGAAACCGAGATCTTTGGGTTATAAACTTACATTTCAAGTTTCAACAAAATCGGATAAAAATTGTGACCTATATAGGATCCACAACCTTGAAATACCCAATTTTTACGCTACTTGAGAACGAAGGGCAGCCATTTTGTCTGTCAATTTTGGGCCGATTTTCACGAAATTCAACCTCAGCCGTCCTAAGAGTGTAACGGTGATATAATAATACGTTTTTTTAAATCAAATAAAAATTATGACCTCTATAGGGTCCACAAGCTAAAAACGCGATTTTTCGTACAATCACGGGCCATAATTCAGGAAGTTACGGTCCGATATGCACGAATATTGAAAGGAACCGAGATCTTTGGGTTATAAACTTACATTTCAAGTTTCAACAAAATCATATAAAAATTGTGACCTCTATAAAGTCCACAACCTTGATATACCATATTTTTACGCTATTTGAGAAAGAACAGCGGCCATTTTGTCTGTCAATTTTGGGCCGATTTTCACGAAATTCAAACTCAGTCGTCCTTATGGTGTAACGGTGATATAATTATACGTTTTTTTAAATCGGATAAAAATTATGACCTCTATAGGGTCCACAAGCTAAAAACACGATTTTTCGTACAATCAGGGGCCATAATTCAGGAAGTTACAGTCCGATATGCGCAAATATCGAAAGGAACCGAGATCTTTGGGTTTTAAACTTACATTTCAAGTTTCAACAAAATCGGATAAAAATTGTGACCTCTATAGGGTCCACAACCTTGATATACCGTATTTTTACGCTATTTGAGAACAAACGGCGGCCATTTTGTCTGTCAATTTTGGGCCGATTTTCACGAAATTCGAACTCAGTCGTCCTTAGGGTGTAACGGTGATATAATAATACGGTTTTTTAAATCGGATAAAAATTATGACCTCTATAGGGTCCACAAGCTAAAAATGTGATTTTTCGTGCAATCAGGGGCCATAATTCAGGAAGTTACGGTCTGATATGCGCGAATATCAAAAGGAACCAAGATCTTTGGGTGATAAACCTATATTTCAAGTTTCATCAAAATTGGATAAGAATTGTGACCTGTAGAGAGTCCACAAACAATTGTGGACGGACGGACAGACAGACAGACAGACAGACAGACGTCCGGACGGACAGGGGCGACGGCATAATACGTCCACATGAAAATGTGGGCGTATAAAAATTGGTGAAAATCGGTCACCCACCATGTGCCGGTCCCTGCATGGTTCTCTCGCAAACGCATTCTTAAACTTACATATCATATCCATCTATGTTCCGAAAAATATTTTTTGCTGTCTATTTTAAGAGATTTCACAAAAATCCTCGCCTACAACCAACAAAACACAGTGAAACAAGAAATGATCTACATTGGCGAAAGTTGAAATCTGGCATGGTGCATATTACGAACGGAATTCTTTAAACGAAACGAAACCATGATACTATAATTTGAAGGCGATCATTTTAAATTGATTTTTAGTGATGGTCCGATTATCGGTTTCACTATTCAGTAGCCTAATTGGCCGATGAGTGGCGTATCAGAAGACATTTTACCGATATTTGCGTAGCCGATGTCTGTTCAAAATGACTCGGCAGCCAATAAATCTTTTCATAAAATATTATTCAAATTGTGAACAAAGCATTCTCTCTAGTCTCTTACTTAAAATGACACTCGGCCCTTTTATTTATTTGCCTTGTATGTGATACAAGTCTCATAGATCTTTTCAACTCTATCGATAGAAAAAGCGGGAAAATGTCACGTGACATTGACAAGACAGAAACTATCATAATCAAACGGTAGCGATGAAACATTCTACGAATGCCGACAAATTTAAGGATTTATATTGTAATGAACATTTAATAACATTTTATAAATAATAATCTCAATCATACCGCCTATGCTAGAATTTACCACGGCATAACGGCAAAACTGTCGTAAAAAGTAAAAGCTGAAGCAAACACGGACTGCCACGGTAATAAAAATAGCCCAAATTGCGTCGTTGTCCATGAGTACACGTATCAAAAAGTTATGCCTTTTATATACATGTAGACGTATGAAATGCATAGGTAATAACTTTTCAATATATCATACAGTCGTTCAGGGGCGGCTGGGCTTGGGATTAGGTGTTAGGTCAATAATTCAGGAATGCAAGATTTAGTTGTAACTAGTGTCCCAAGCCTACCCCTATAGTTCATTTTTACATAAGAATGCTCACTTTCTAAAATAGTGCCCTTATTATTATAGAAGGTTATGGTAGAGCCGTGGGAAATTTGATGAATCAATTTTAGTTATGGTTGTCATGATGGCAGCCATTGGGAACACGAATAACTAAAGGATCGAAAGGAAAATAAATTTCGTTGACTTGATTACTCCAAGAGGAATCTGTAAATTTTATACTTATCACAGTACCACCTAACGCAATTAGAAAATCATTGAACGGACCGTTTGTCTATCTACAAATATAAAAATTGCACGTTCAGTGACGGAAAATGACAACGGTATATTTATTGTTAAATATGAAGAAAGGCAGCCGTGCCTTATAATTGTCAGCTAATTTTTGTTACAGCATTCATAAATTTTGGGTGCCATTGTAGAAGAATCCTCATTTCAAGCACTGGTCATGATCTAGGCATACAAATACTAATTAATCATGCAACAAATAATTATTAAGTTCTCAATAGATGTTGTGTATTTTCAACTAATTAATCTTCAACAAACATCGTCTTCTATCCCGATATAAAACCTCTACAAAAACAGTACATATACGCAATCCATAAAAATATTGTACAAAAATGCATTTCGTTTCGCGTAAAACAGGGATCCTCAAATTTTAATGCAGAGGATATGACGTCAAAAAAGGGTCAATCTATCCCAACATGCCGGGGCGGATCCAGAGGGGGGGGGGGTTGGGGGGTTGAATCCCCCCCCCCCCCCCCCGCTCAGCAACATAAATTTTTTTGTAAATCAACACTTTTTATGAGAAAGGTTTCTTGGCCTTGGGACAGGATGGGCACGCAAAGCACGAGATAATGACATTATGTGATATCACAATTAAACATGTATTATGCAAGAGCTAAATCTGATTATTGCAAGTCTTAATTTAGGCTTCAGATGTTATAGAAATTATAAATTAGATCTTTATTTAAACAACAAGACCAAAATCAACTCTGTAGACCCATGGATGGCTCGGCTACAGCTCGGATTTAAATAGGATTTCACTAATTGATTAAATCAAATAAGGGGTAACCTGATGAAAATACATCAGTTAGATCGAGGCTAAATGATAGAGTGTACTTAGCGAGGCCGCTGCAAAGTGTTTCCGTATGCCATTGAAAACTTTACTTGATAATCGAGATATGTAGGTGGAGTTAACGCCTGTCAATCAAACGATCGGCAAAGGTGAAGACGCATTTCGCTACCATTTTTAGTCAAATAGTACAACGATGATAACTATGTTCAGAATAAAGTAATTTGACTGAATTTTTCAATATATTCTTCTTTCATCATCTACTTTTGAACTGTTATAGCAAGAATGGCCAACTCTCTATAAAAATCTCCCATAATGTATCTTTAATGCTTTGCATCCATGAAATTGAATCACAAAGTCATTGTATTAATTCATAATAAAAATTGACGTCAAACGAGGTGTTTAAAAAGCTCAATGAGTATGTATATACGCCAAAATGACTATATAGACCAAGCGGGGGGGGGGGGTAGATACATTGTCTCAGGAACATGACCTGACCCCCCCCCCCCCCTGCAAAAATTCCTGGATCCGCCCCTGAGATGGCGACTGAAAGAAATGCTGGTGTATGTGATATTGGATAAACCTGTTTCACTGAACAACGTTTGTTTGTCAGTAAGTGTCATTGTTGTTCAGAGATGGATCACACAATAATTCGGTGACAATAAATAAGGTAGGACATGCATTTAGAATTTATCGACTGACGCCTTTCAGCTCGTGGCTATTTGATGCGCCAACAATTCAGTGGCACATCGCTCCAAAGAGGGACGGCTTAAAGATTCTTGAGGTTACGTGTGAACGAAACCTCAAGACACTGAGTAAATGTACCTGATGCATTTGAACTATTCAACCGTATCTGTAACCTTGCGGTGCCATTTCTATTGCCATCGGCTCTTCTGATTCCATTTTGAAGAACTCCCTGAATTTGTTTCAGTCGGCGAGATGCAGCCTCTGCATTCATTCGTAAACAAGTCCACATGAATGTTACTGGATTTTACACCAGCTAGTTACATATACCTGTCACCCTTGAATTTTTTTTTTAGACTGACAGGTACAAAGTTCATTATTCTTCACAACACGAGGTACGGGGAATCCCTCCAGTGTTGTCTAGAACATCCAGAGTGCGGGGTCAGTTCATCCCACAACCGTTTCACATGGAGATGTTTCATCCCAAACCATTTTTTTTATCGGGTTGTTTCATCCCGGGCTGTTTCATCCCCCTTGTTATTATAATAGCAGTCATTTAACTGAGTTGTACTTATTGTTAAATAAACTGTTAAACACTTAGGCCTACTTATTGTTAAATTAACAATTTACATCGCTCGATTGTAAGCGATGTAATTTTAGTGAAATTGGTGTCTCGAATTGGTGTGGATTCGGAAAATAAGCTAAAGCGTATTCAAGAAGTTGGACACTATTCATGTTAAAATTGCATTGACATAATATATTGTATAAATAAAATATTCGGAAAATAAGCTAAAGCGTATGCAAAGGAAGAAGTTGGACGCTATTCATGATAAAATTGCATTAACATATTGTTATTGGTATTAAACATGCATTATGCAAGAGCTAAATCTGCCTATTTTAGGTCTTTCTTTAGGCCTGAAATGTTATCTAAATTATTAATTAGACATTAATTAACCTATCCAGGCCATAATCAACTCTAGATGGCAGCGTTAGCCTGCGATTTTTAGTGGATTGTTAGCCGATTTACTGCATAACTTTCCTTCTCGATTAAACGATTAAATGGATAATCGAGACTATGCTGTTTATCGTACTGACAAGTTTCATGACCATATACTGACAGGAAACTTCGATATTGTTGAAGATAAAAATCTTACAAAACTTTTTCGCTTTGGACCACAATTTCGAGAACAACCTAGTAAAACTAATTTCAGAAAGTTACATAATAATCTTAAATCTCAAATCAGGAAATGCATAGTAGCTTGGTCTGATAAATTTCGTGCACCATTAGAATCTTTTGGAGAATGGAAAAACACTGTTTTTGATCTCTTGTCAAAAAGAATCAAATATATAAAACTTAACCCAAAACACCCGCCACCCGAAGTCCTAAATAATACATCCGCGGTTGAATGTTTTGCTTCTCTTCAATATAGATTTGTTCTAACGCCTGTCGATAAGGCCAGCAATAATATTGCCTTTATCTGTAAAAAAAATACTATATTAGAAATATTCTTACTGAAGTTGGACTTTGGCCCAATACCCATAATGACACTTATAAATGCATTACGGATTTAACTAAACTAGATATTTTACATAACCAATATACATTTAACAGGAGTTATGATATTAAAGACAATGTGAAAATAGATGCGCTACCTTACATCTATTCTATACCTAAATTCCATAAAAACCCAGTAAAATTCAGATATATAATATCCTCCAGTATCGGCCAAACGAAACCATTAGCTAAGACTATCACCAAAGGGCTTAAATTATGCCAAACCCAACATGCCATTTGATGCAGAACACTTCGTAGCTATACTGGAATTAATAGTTTTTTTTTATAATTGATGAAAATAAACCTATAGCAGACACCTTAGAAAAAATCAATAAAAAAAATTAATGCAAACACAATAGAAACGTTCAATTTTTCTACTTTGTATACTATGCTTCAACATGCAGATCTTAAAGATAATTTAGATTGGTTTGTAGATAAAGCCTTTAATGGAGCTTTCGGGAAAGGCGGAAACTTGATGGCCATTTATGCAGAAGATGCTAAATGGATTATAAAACGTCGCAATGCCGACGCTGTATTTTTTGATAAAGAAAAATTTCAAAATATCATAGATTTCCTTATTGATAATGCCATATTTGAGGTTGGGGATCAGATAATGCAACAAACCATTGGTTTGCCAATGGGAACTGACCCCGCCCCATTTATGGCAAACGCACATTTATATAAATACGAATTCGACTTTCAAGACCATAAAAGAAAAACAGATTACAAATTAGCTAAAAGTCTAAACTATACCTTCCGATACATTGATGACATAACACCTATCAATGATAACGGAAATTTCAACAAATATAAAAGTAAAATATATCCTCCTGAACTAACATTAAATAAAGAAAATTCCGGTACTATAAATGCATCTGTTCTTGACCTTAACATCAATATAATTAACAATAAATTTAATGTCGGTATTTTCGACAAAACGGACAAAATTTGGTCTTGAAGTAGTAAAATACCCGTCAATCTATAGTAACATACCACATAGTACGCTATATAGTGTTTTCTATTCACATGCATTACGATTTTTGACAATATGTAACAATAAAGAACTATTTCTCTCCCGAATAAAATCTCTTTACTTTAAATGCACTGCCAAAGGCGCTACACAATCACGCATTTTAAAAGAAATTGGAAAACTTCCATTACTTCAACATACCAAGTTTGACATTTCTTGTAAGTATATAATCGACTACATACTGGATAATAATGATCCAATTTAAATTTTATTTTAGATTTTCTGTAGTTTCCTAACCCTGTCTGAATTACCTCCCTTAATGTTATGCCTTTATAAATACACTTACATAGTACGATTTCTTCAACATACCTGTTTTGCATTTCTTGTGTGGGGTATGATATTAATATATTATATATTGTACAATTATATAACTAAATAATTCCGATTAGTCGCTAGAACTTATGGTTTTTAAGCTTTTAACGTTATTTTATCTGGATTATCGCCCTTATTATTGTGATTTTTTATCACCTTCTAAGATATGACGTCATTCTCAGTCAGCAGACGGCTGTCCCTCGAGACAGTCTACATTTCCTAGTACTTGCTTCTTTGTATTCAGTTTTGTTTTTGTTTTTTGTGACGATGGAACATGTACCCTATATGTATTGAATACTGAAGCGTTTCTTGATTGAATTTAGAGTTTAGACTACTTTTTTATACATTTCACCAATGTGGTTACTTGTATAATTGAATTTTTCTACATATGCTTACATTCGTATTTCGTGTAGCATATAGCACTAGCAGATCATGACTCATGCTGGCATTACACAATGGGTTTGGGTTGTATTCCTAATTGTTTTCAAATTTGAGTGAAGTCTGTGTCACTACAGACCCGGGACTGTACAGCCCAGTGGACGCTTACGGCTAGCCCCCGGATCCATTCACTTTTTTTTAATTGTCTGTATGTTTGTGTTTTCCTGAGTATGATGTCCTGTCTGTGTATTTGTTTTTGTGTAAATTTTGTGTGGTGAAGTCCCCCTGCACTTACTATTTAGTAATGATGACCGAGGCTTATGGAAATTTCAGTCGCTTAGTTCTCGGTTCATAGTGGGTCAATTTGAATGAAATTTTCACCAAATTGCCTTTACATTATCTAGTTTTTAACTATTATAGTGAGAACTGCCAACTCGTTACCGAATCTCCCATAATGTATCTTTAATGTATAAATATTAAAAATTCATGTAATACCTGTTTTTAAATTTGTAGGATGAAACGACCGTGTAAATTTGGGAGGAAACAGTCCGGATGAAACAGCCCAAGACGAACCGGTAGTGGGATGAAACGATCTCTTCCCGAACATCCAGACGGACATATTTGGGAGCAGTCAGTTTCGTGGAAGATTTAATAAATAAGTGCAGAAGGACCGTACTGCAAAAACCATACAAATTTGTTCAGTTCTATCCTTTAAAAACAGTTTACTCCACTATTTTGACTAGGGCCTAATTGGTTTATAATATTTTATATTATAAAAGCAAGAAGCGAATTAAATTAATACTTGAATTTCAGTTACAAATAATGCCCCCCCCCCCCATATGCCATGTGCATGTGTCGTGTTTGTTTGTTGTTGTTAGTTAGTTGTATTTTACGTCCGCTTCCACCGAGGTGATATCGCAGACAATTGTTTGTTTACATTTTTAATTTTTAGGGGGGAATCCCAAATGGATTGACAAATTGTAGTTCGTCTATTTATAGCTATTCTCTCTGTCTCCTTTCTCCCCTTCTGCATGCCAATTTGTGTTGATTTTTTGGTCTAGAATGGACGAAGAGGGTTTGAATTAACATTTTCTGTCAGGTTTTGGTAAATATTCATGATTTTGCGGCGGAAGGATAACGGAGTTATCAGGTTGGCCACGGTGATATGTACAGCAACTAGTTCCATGTTTTTAGTATGCTTCTTCAAGTTTGTGTATCTCAAAATTTTGGTGGTCAACCTCATACAAATTTTAGTGCAAAGACATGACCATTTGTTCCTCTGTCTGTAGTGAAAAGCATTCAGCCCAACGAAAATTTGGGGAAAAGTTGGAGGTGGGCAAAGAGGCCAAAATTAACATTGCGGTTAATGGGGAAATTAATGGTGGTCTGCCTCCAGTTAGAAAATCCGGATCTAAATGCTTATCTCCCTTGAGATTATAATCTGCAAGTTTCATTGAAATCGATTGGTATTTGCAGTCTGTAGCCGTGCCACATGAAATCTGTGGTAACCTCATATCTCGAAAACCGCTAACCGGAAGTTGTCGAAATTTCGGCTACTTTGAGATATTATTAATGTCATTATCATCTGCAAGTTTCATTGAAACCGGTTGGTAATTGCGTTCTGTAGCCGTGCCACATGAAATGTGTGGTAACCTGATATCTCGGAAACCGCTCACCGGAAGTGGTCGAAATTTTGGCTACTCCGAGATATTATTAAAGTAATTATAATCTGCAAGTTTCATTGAAATCGGTTGATAATTGTGGTCTGTAGCCGTGCCACATGAAATGTGTGGTAACCTGATATCTCGAAAACCGCTAATCGGAAGTGGTCGAAATTTTGGCTACTGTGAGATATTATTAATGTTATCATATTCTGTAAGTTTCATGGAAATCGGTTGATAATTGTGGTCTGTAGCCGTGCTACATGAAATGTGTGGTAACCTGATATCTCGAAAACCGCTAACCGGAAGTGGTCGAATTTCTGGCTACTCTGAGATATTATTAATGTCATTATAATCTGCATGTTTCATTGAAATCGATTGATAATTGTGGTCTGTAGACGTGCCACATGAAATGTGTGGTAACCTGATATCTCGGAAACCGCTAACCGGAAGTGGTCGATATTTTGGCTACTCTGAGATATG